TGCCAGTTCTTGGATGGAGCCCTCTCCTATAAGTAGGCGAGTCCCCCATTCATTTGGACAATTGAACATGTAGTATGCTACTATGAACAAGGCACACCGGACACCTAAACACATGGAGCTCATTAGTTCCCCCAACGAGTTCTTCAGCTCATCACATGGAGCTCACTAGCTCCCCCTACGAAAGCTCATCACATGGAGCTCTTCAACCTATCCATACAAGCTCAACAACTCATCCATACAAGCTCTCCAACTCACCTTATTTTCCCTTGTCATTACTAACTTAATCGTCAGAATCCACACCCCTAGGATCACCCGAGACCTCTAATATCTCTTATAGTTGCAGGTCTCTCTTAGTAGCCGAGGTGACACTCCGAGGCAATGTGACACCCTATTCCCACAATTTTCCATCCTTGCACATGTGGTCAATTTTGATTCTCATAAAAAACATTGCTGCCAGCACTATTACCAAACAAAATCAGTGTTGTTTTCTCAAAAAATGCCTGGGTGGCAGCACTGATTCCAAACAAGAAAAAATAATGCTTACAACTCCATATGCCCAGCACCATTTTTATAAGAAAATTGTATAATGTTTCCGGCACCGATGCCAAACACCCACTATGAAGGCAATGGTCATTTTGGATACCCAATGGTGGGTTTTCAGTTTTCCCGTTTTCAGCTATTAGTACTGTTTTTTTTTTCTTTGCTATTTTTTGATGAAACCGCCGATTTCTGACAACCTTACTATATATTGTAGGAATCTTCAAACAACAGGAACTTGGGTGTAGGTACCTCCTATGGGCTATGGTTAATGGTACTGTATGCCATTGTTGTCTGGGTTTTAGAAAAACCCTCTAAATCGTGCATCAATACGGGTGAAGACGATGAATAAATCAGGTGCTTTTAACCCAGATGAATCATGGGTTTAAGGGTCAATTTGACCCGCAAAAGTAACCCATTAGAATTAATTGAAGTGAACTCATTTTTTATTAGACTGAATCGTGGCCCAACTTGATTGGTTGGTCTACGAAATTAAAATTAATGTATATTCCATTTAAATAATAAATATAGAAAATACAAATAAAATTACATTATCATTAATTTAAATGAAATACAAGTAATTACATTAACATAGAATAGTTAGTTAAAAGATTTAAACTTGTAGACATTTAGCATGATTACTTAATAAATCTTATTAATAAAATTTAAAGCTTATTAGCATTAAAATTAATTATTATTGACATAAAATATAAAAAAAACTTTTATAGTTCCATTTACAGAAAATGAAAATAAAAAAGTAATTAGTTAATAACATAAAACTATAATACTAATTTGTAATATTAATTAATAATTTAATTAATGCTAATTATAATTAAAGATACACTTTTGATAATGTCAACGAACAAAAAGTTTAATTGATTAATAGTAATATAATTAATGCAAATAAACTATTAGTATAAAACTAACTAATGTTTAACCATTGTGAATAAAATATCATAGTTACACATTTGTGAATAAAATTAAAATAATTCCAAGTTCATCAAGATAGATAGAGAGAGAGAGAGAGAGAGAGAGTTGTGTCTTAGGGGGCATTCTTTTTTCGGATTTTGAGAGGGGGGAAAGTTGGTCAATGAGATTTTAGTTTTCATTGACCAAGAATCCCATGTTCTTTTTTCAAATTTATGTGGAGACTAGAGAAAGTTTATTTTCCTAGGTATCACTTACCTGGGTAAGTAATACCCATCTCCTAGGTGGGTAAATTACTTTTCCACCTAGGGGAAAGTTGCCAATACTTGAATGAGACAAAAATACCCTTTTTAATAATGGATTTTTATGATTAAAATGGTCATTACCTTATTTACACGAGAAATAAAAGAACATGGATAAATGCACTTACCCGGGTAAGTATTTCCCAAGAAAAACTTATCCAGGTAACTACATTTACCCAAGTAAGTAACTTACCAAAAAGCGAACGAGGCCTTAATGTTTTCAACCTACTAGTATATGTATGTATGTATGTATGTATGCATTATGTAAATGGCTGATCTGGTAGAAAAATGAGAACACAAATTTAGTTTGGACTTGCATTAATAAATATTGTATTTGGTTGTGAGAGATACAAACATGAATAATTTGATTAGTTTCAAGAATTTTTGTTGACTATCTAATCAATTTTGAGTACAAAAGTTTAATTCCATTTGAAATCCAAAAATGTTAGAAAAACATACTTTTTCATTTTCTGTAAAAAAATGTATTATTACCCAACAACTTAAAAACGAAGTGAAATACAAATTTGTCTTGCTTCTACATTTGCACTCTTAACAAATTCTACGTGGAGGAAACATGGTGGAATTGGTCATCAGCATCACCCCTTTTGTCAGCCCAGGCCCATATTGGGCCACGCCAAATTGCTGAATTCAAACTCCCACGAGCCCAATTACTAGTTGGGCCTCAACAAGTTCATGATGTTAAATGGAATTTTAGGTTAAGTGGTGCAGCGCCAAGTGCAACCGCTTTGCCGCCTGATTTTTTTATTTACTTTTAATATTAATTGGTTTGTTGGGTGACTGGACAGGCTACCCCAATACAGCAAGACAGCAGGAAGAGCGGAGCACCAAATCCAAAAGCGAAGCGACATTGCGAATATAATCACGTTCCCACTTGCTTAGGTAAGGTAGCTAACCTATTTTATTACATCATCTCCCCTCTCCCATCTCTGCACTACTCTACCTTCTTTGTCTCGTTGTTATGGCCCAATTCCAATCCATTCACGTTGACTTCTTAACCCCAACTACCATAACTTTCTCCACTTTTCCCCGCCCAATATCTACCGTCTGATCAACAGAAGTATAGAACTACCAACTGTCAACTACACCATTACACCGTTTATATGCAGAGACCAGACACACAGAGAGAGAGAGAGAGAGCGTAGTGTCCGGTTTGCCGTATTATTGTCGCATGAGTAACAGAGTAAGATACCATACGACATTGGTTGGCACATGCTTGGGCATGGGTTAACAGGACATGGATAGTCCATCACAGGCCGACCCGATCACAGATAGTCATGCTCCTTGTAGTCGTAGCCCACCAGCCACCATGTGGCCTAACTTATTAGCAGATCCCATTCCCATCTCATCATCACCTCCAACTCTCTCACTCCTGACTCCACCTCGTGTTTATCCATCCCTTTATTCAATTTGAATCTCTTACATAATTTCTTCAGGCAGTTTGTGGGAAAAGACGCAGATACGAAGAGAGAAGCGTGACGACAAGCCTGCGTTAGCTTCCACTATTGTCTTGAAATTTTGGTCCGACACGCTAGATCACATGTCATCCCGGATAATTTTTATTCCAGGTTCGGTTCTGGGTCAACCTCTCTTGGGTTGCAGGTCGGGGCAGGCTAACCTATTTTCTGAAATAGCGTTGGACTGGATTGGGTTTGCAGCTGGGTCGACTCAGCCCATTGATAGGGATAGCCAACCAGGAGAGGGGTGGTTTCCAAGCTTTTTCGGTTGGTTTCATATATCATAACTACAAGTCTACAATACAGTCGATGAGCATGAGTCATAACTCCCGTCAGTCCGGCACATGGATAGGTACTAGCTCGTAATAGAATTATTGGCGGTGGCTTGACGTGTGGGTTTAAGTCAACTCTACCAACTAAAACTGATAATAAAGCACATGCGTAGCCACTAATGGGTGATGACTGATGACTGATGAGCGATTAGTGTTGTCTCCACACGGAACCCTACTTGAGAAAAAAATTTGTCGTAGGAATAGGGACAATTTTTTCTTTAATTACACTTTCACCCTCATCAAATTTCGTCCCTCCCTTAACTTCATAGATTTTTTCTCTCCTATAGTTTAATTGTTTATATAATATAATATATGTGTCTCCAATAAAATGGAAATTGCTTCCAAAATTTCTTTTCGTTTTTCCACGTGGATGTGTGGTGTGGGACCATTAACCTGGTTCAGAGGGGGGCCGGTGGTCATTGTGTGAACCGCTTTCTCCGTCAGACCTATTACTGTATGCCACGTGGATGTATCATAACAGGGTTTCTAGACATCCCTTTCATTAGCCACGTGGGGGTGGTGGCACTTGGAAGTGGAACAAACAACTAGAAGCATAGAAAGCAAAACTTTTTATATAAGTGAGAAATCTGATGCAGGATAACGAAATGAGTTGATAAAAAAGCGAAGCATAATGAGAGACAATGTAAAGAAAAGAGGTAAAAAGTTAAAAAAGAAAGTCATTTTTATCGGCTGCTCGCGAGAGAGCTACATAATTGCAAAGAGAGAAGCGTTGTCTGGTGACTGGTGAGTTGCCACATCGTAGTCATCAACTCTGAAAAAAAAAAAAAGAACAATGACACGACTTACGAGAAAGAGAGAGAGAGGGATGAACCAATCCAACCGTGGTTCAAGTCGAATAAACGACGATATCCTCTACGGTAATGGGAGGATACTGAACCGAACATGATGAGAAGCACGTCAGCCTGACCGTATTGTCGGTGGTATTACGAGTGAAACAGTAGAGAACTAGGGAGATCAGGGAATTGGAAGGAGGGCCCCGCTATCATGCGCACGAACGTCCGCGTCCATCCATCATTCATCAACAAGTGTCAAGTGGATCAGACACACGTGCACACGCATTTGACGAAAAGGCTCCCGTGAGATAATAACAACAAGAACAGGAAGCGACGATGAAAAGATAATTCTAGTTGGAAATTTTGTTAAATAAAATAAAATAACGGTGTGCTGTGCCGTTTGTAATGCTTTGACTAATTTCGCCTCACTAATTACGCCAAGTTACACAACACGTGAAACAAATAATAATGAATAACTATTGTATCTTATTATACAGAGGTAAAAAATAAATTATCCACTGTAATTAAGGGTTTTTCTGTAAATTGACTTTCAAAAGATTAAAGGCTTCTAGCTTGTTAATGTCGCGTGGGTCGGGGGGGCTCGGGACTTCTTATAAGTGGGTTTATTTTTTTGGAAATCAGGTTATTGCGTGTTTGACCTCAAGACCGATAGAGAGATCAGAGAGAGACTACTCTGATGATCTTTTTCCGATCTTTTATAATAGATCAACATTTCTTACTTCGTTTCTTCTCTTCTACTGCTCTCACTCTCTCTCTCTCTCTCTCTCTCTCCCTCCCCTTTGGATGTTAAATTCGAATCGGATGGATTAGATTCTGACCGGGGAGGCTATTTTTCTACCGGAGAAATTTGAACGGAGGTAGACGGATTACAGTCGTGACAGGAGAGAAAAAGACGACTTCCTCTTTTTCTTTCTTTTTGGTTTTCTGGACAAAATTGGGGTGACTTTAACCAAAGGGAGATATGAGAGGTGTAAATAACAGTATGGATACTATAAGTGCTGCTGCGTCTGCGATCGTCACGGCTGAGGCTCGAGTTCAGCCAACTACTGTTCAGGTAAAATCGCTGGTGCCGTTCGGTTACTGTTTTTCTTTGTTGTTATAATCCTGTTGTGCTCCTTTTCGTTTCTAATTTACGGTTGAGTATCTTGAGTTTGAATTCTAGATGTTCGCGATTAGCTTCTGAGATTCGAGATTTGTTAAATTATTTTGCTTTGTTTCCGTTATTTTTTTAATCTTTTGTATTTCCTCTCTAAGCTTCTCTGTGCGAATTTTGGATCTAATTTGGATATGAATGGAGAATTTTCTGATTAGATTCGGTACTTAGCTGGGAATTTTCTTTTCCCAGTTTTACTATGTTTTCACTTTCAATTTCCTCGATTCTCTATAATATTTGAAGTTTATTTTGGTTCTGAAACTATACCTTTTCAGTTTTAGTATATTTGAAGCCTCTGCGGTTGGTTTTCGCGAACCGAGATTTTATGGCGGTATAAGAGTTTATAGAGATCTATCTAAAACCATAGAACCTAATAGGGAAGTCCTTGTTTTAGCTCAAGAACAGAATGTGGTACCTGTTCTATACAACCTTATAGAATTTGTGAGGTCCCTATGGGGTCCTTTCCCTCTAGTATCTGAATTCATTTGATGTCTACGTTTGCAACAATAGTGACTCTGCATTGGAAGGAGTTACCTTGAAGTTTCTATAATTAGGTTGGGAAAGAATTCTTGAAAATTTTAGTAAATACTGACCGTAGTTATCCATTAAATGTTTTCCCTAACAGGCACCTGCTCTTGTAGCATGCTAATTATTGGGTTTAAGCCATTTATTGTATTACTATGTGCTTTTGAGACTTGTCTCTTCTGTTGTTCTCTAAATTGCTCAGCCGGGAGACTGCCTAAACTAGTAGATAATAAACTAGTGGATGCTTAAAAGAAATTTGTCTGAGATCCAGACTGCTGTGCTGAGCCGATTGCAATGATTTTCCATCACAAGATTCCTATAATGGAATCTGACATGGTGATACTTTTGATTTAAAATAGAAACTTGAATTTGGTTATTGCTAGATCTTTTTCCTGTCATAGGGACCTTTACTACTGACTAAAATTCAGAATTTAATCTAATATGGTAAAGAGAAACTTCTGTTTTGTCCAAGTTCAGAATTTCCATGATAAACCAAATATATTATCATGCCAATGCACAGGATATAGACCATGCCATAACATGAAACATTGTGTACAATGTTCCAAAGAATGACAAGAGGGTTTGACCTGTTATAAATATTTGGAGTCGCACTTTACCAATTATTTATACAAGTGAAGGCAAAACAAAAAGGTCTCACTACATTGAATAAGTAAATGTATTTCAAGAGAAAACTCAAGGCATGCCACAATAATCCAAATATGATTCTGATTACAACTTGATATTCATAAAATTTTTCAAATGATCACAACTTGATATTCATACCTTTACCACTGTTTAGTTATTTTTGTCAATGCTGAAGTTCTTATTGGTTTATCTTTAGTTAGGAAAGACCTCTTATATGCAGGACTTGTGGTTGCTTCTGCACTCTTTTTCATTGGGTTTTTTTTTGTCCTTTGCGTAGCCCTCCACCTTCTTTTGCAGCTTCTCTTTTTTACTTCTGTTTTCCAGTAAATTATTCAATACTTCCTTTATAAAATACCACAAACAACTGGCAAGGCATGAATCATCAGGACCACCTAAAATACAATTACTTTCTCTAGATTTCACAGGTTTTAATATAAGATCTTTCTCACAAACACAAGGTAAAGAACCTGAAGTGAGTTTCAACCATTGTATGTTCTCCCCCTGTCATGGTCCTAGGAGTTTCCTTAGCATTCATCACATCATACTTGGTGAATAATCATAAAGCTTTTAACCTATATAATCTCTAAATATGTTCATACCTGCAGGCTCTACAGTGTTCTTTAGCCTGGGCAATACAGAAAAAGTTCACTTCAAAAAGGAAGGAGTCATTCCTTTGAAATCTTTTTGATGAATTCAGTAGCATTTGTATAGAAATCCAATTCCACCATAGAAAGATTTTAACACTCAGGGCTGCCGAAGGCAAAGAGAAACCTAATTCCTTTTATGATAATCATCACTAGGGTACCATATGAAGAAATGGGCATGAGAAGTTGGTATTTCTCTTTGTAGGAATGGAAAGAACATTGAAACTGATAACCAGGGAAATGTCATTCCTATGTAGTGTAATTTGCACTAAATGATCACTTTGGCTTGGTATAATTGGGTAATGAGCATTTAGGTTTCAATGTGGCATAGGAATGTCAGGCATGGATACTGCAGAAACTTCCTAAGAATTTGTTTATGGTTACGTTTCTAGATCCTGTAGTGATTCATTAGCAGTCTTTGTATACTAGTAGCTCCCTCAGCATGAGAGACATTGTTATGCATGGCCATAAAAGTGAAAAGATGTTTGAAAATTTTACATTTTAGATGTTACAATAAAAAATTAGCTGAATTTAATGAAGTGACTTCTAGTACGATTAGCTTGTAGAGCCAAAGATTGCCAAATTGTGATTGATTGGAGTTCAGGACAAGTACGAGTTTCATATCTTAGAATTTCTAGTTAGTTTTGAGTTTTGGAAATGTGTTGAGCTAATTTGACAGGTAGAGGAATGATAAAATTGTCACTTATATGAATTGCCTTTGTTCAAAATTTAGATTGAGCATCTGGGGCAATCCTTGTTGTCCACTAGTGTAAGTATTTGGTTGTGATATTGGTCAGTTTTTCTTAGGCTACCCACGGACTGTCAGTTCTATTATAGATGCTTTCTATTGTAGGGACTCCACTCAGTGCCTTAAGATGCCAGAGGAAAAGGGTTTCTTTCCTTGGAATTATCTCCATGTTTCCCTAGCACTCTACTTCATATTGTTTCTTTGGTGTTGTTCATGTTGTTCAGATGTTAAACAACAAAGTCAGCTCTTTATCCCACGGACCTGTGGTTTATACTTCTAAGTTGTATTTTTTCTCCTTACTGTGATAAATGAGATTGTGTCCGAGGACTAAAGAAAATTTTATATTGTCAGCTTACATCTATAATTAGTTTTATATTTTTCTACTCTTGTTCTTGGTTCATCTCCTGTTATCTTAGTTTTTTCTCTATTGTTTAATTTTATGTTAAGCTACAGAAGAAACAAAATGCTGTTTCCTCTTTCTTTTTTTTTTCTCTTGTTAGCAATATCCTTACCTGTTATGAGTTTCTACTAAATGTTGCCCTCACATGCAGAAAAGAAGATGGGGGAGCTGTTGGAGTCTGTATTGGTGTTTTGGATCTCACCGGCATGGTAGGCGTATTGGGCATGCCGTCCTTGTTCCTGAACCAACAGACCCAGGATCAGCAGTCCCAGCCACTGAAAATCAAAGCCACCCACCCTCCATTGTATTACCTTTCATTGCTCCTCCCTCTTCTCCTGCTTCTTTCCTTCAATCGGAACCTCCATCTGCTACTCAATCACCAGCAGGACTATTATCCTTCACCTCACTATCTGCCAATGTCTACTCTCCAGGTGGACCTGGTTCTATTTTTGCTATTGGACCATATGCACATGAGACTCAGTTGGTCTCGCCCCCTGTCTTTTCAACCTTCACAACTGAACCATCTACTGCTCCTTTTACTCCTCCTCCAGAACCTGTGCAGCTGACCACACCTTCCTCACCAGAGGTTCCCTTTGCTAAACTCCTCACATCATCGCTGGACCCCAATCATCGAGCAGGTGAAGCCTGTCAAAATTTCCCAGTATCCCAATATGAATTCCAGTCTTATCAGCTATACCCTGGAAGCCCAGTTGGTCACCTCATATCGCCCAGCTCAGCAATCTCAGGCTCTGGTACATCTTCTCCTTTTCCAGATCGTGAGTTAATTTCTGGTGAACATTCTTTTCTTGAGTTCCGTGCAAGCGACCCTCCCAAACTCTTTAGCATTGATGCACTTTCTATCCTTAAGGGGGGGCAAGGACAAGGTTCTGGGTCACTGACGCCAGATGCTGCAGGACCGACCTCTCGAGATGGTTTCCCCCAAGATAATCAGATATCGGAGGTTGCATCCCTTGCAAACTCAGACAGTGGCTCACAAAATGGAGACATTGTGATTGATCATAGAGTCTCCTTTGAGCTAACTACTGGAGAGGTTCCAAGCTGTGTGGAGAAGGCAATCCTCGATGAATCCATATCACAATCTCTGCCATCGGGCACCACAGCTGAAGTAGATGGAATTTCACGCAAAACAGAAGATGTCGCCGAGACCCGTATTGGGGAAACATCAAACAATACTCCCCAGAAATCTATGGAGGATGGGGAGGAGCAGCGACAACATCATCATCAAAAGAATCCTTCCCTCACGCTTGGTTCAGTCAAAGAATTCAATTTTGATAACGCAGATGGAGGAGCAGCCGATAAGCCCACCATCAGCTCTGAATGGTGGATCAATCAGAAGGAAGCTAGACCCTGCAACCAATGGACCTTCTTCCCCATGATGCAGCCAGGTGTCAGCTGATCTAATCAACACAATGTCCGATTTCAGTTTATCTGTCTCCTTCACAGTGGAAGGAGTTTGCCTGTGGGCTTAGGGAATATAAACCTAAATACCTGATCACCAACCTGGATGAAAATCAAAGCCAAACATGATGGGCATAGGGGTGATTATGGATGATAATCTTGGTGATTGAGATCAGGTAGACTGATCATATACGACTGACGTAGAAATAGGAGGGCGGTGCATCTTGACCACAAATGACTACACAGAGGATGAGGGAAGAATGCATGGTTCTGAAGATAGGGTACTGTATTAACTATTAAATTAGTTTTTCTGATTATTCTGACTAAAAATGAAATTGGAAGTTTTCCTGGCTTACCACTTATTCTTCTGTGAAGATTTTAAGCTTTTTGCTTTATGTATGTAATATTAAGAATTAAGAAGACAAGGGGATGAAATGCTCCTCCGCATTGTGTTCACCTATGAAGTGACAATTGAGTTCTCATCTCTCGTTAATCATCTATTCGCTTTGTGGTTTGTATACTGACGGGATTGCTGCTTGCTGGACGATAGTTTGGAGTTGGCCAGTGTTCCAGCGTCACTAATAAGTAATCAGCAATAACAAGCTGGTATTCTTAAACCTTTGTTCGTGAGTACTTTCACTTTTTTAACCCATGAAAGTTTATTAGTAGGGGTGTTCACGGTCGATTTAGTGTGGGTCGGAGAATACCTCAAATACAAATCGTTTGAGAAATTTCTAAATTTAACCATACCGTTTTAGTATGAAAATCAAATTAAATCAAACCATTTTATTATGATTTAGTACAATTTTTAATATGGTTTAGGGATTTTCAATCATTTTATGATTTTATTGGGCTTAACCTAATTGGAAAGCCCAAATATCATCCTTAAAAATTTAAAAATTAAAACTTTTATTTTGGTATCTTATTATAAAAGAAAAGAGTTTATAATATATATATTTCAGACCTTTATTGGATATCCGATAAAATGATCCAAATCAAAATCGGAAATTCGGATCAGGGGTTAGAGAGAATTCAAGATATTTAAATTCGAATCATATGCATTCTATTGGATCGGATTCAGATATGTTTGCATCCCTACATAAAACCGGAAAAATCAAAAGAAAACAACATATAATTGCAAAGGAAAGAGAATCCAGCCGTAATAAGGGAATATTGATGTAATCTTCGTGCATGGGACTCGCCATCAGGAAAATTAGAACCAGTATCCAATAAGTCGTAATCCTCTCTTCAATACCCCTATTAGCCACCAATCAGTAAGTGGTTAGCCTCCTTAGCGTTGATGAAACTAATGTATATATTTATTTGCAAAGTTTGCCATTTATGATGTTCACAAGTGTTTCATTGTAATTCTCTACATCAACAGAAATAAGTTTGTTTGAAAAAGTAAGTTTCTTTTCTTTCTTTTTTTTTTTGTTTTCAAACAACAAAGATCAACCTTTCATTAATAGACTTAACCTTTGTACAGGTATTCCCTGTCTAGGGATATCAACATATATGTCTTTTTTCTTTTTACAAGTAGAAAAAGCAAGTTGATGTGCCACATTCCTATTTACATGGATTATATCAAAAAAGAAAGTAAGTTCAGAACATGTTCTTTTTAAGATCCTTTCCAACCATTGACACTCCAATTGAAGTTGGTTGATTTGCATGATCACAGCTTCAACATCAGAAAACAGCACAAACTTCTTACAGTTTTTGTCCCGAGTAAATTCTAGGGTTCATACAATTGCCCACCATGTTTTAGCATTTAATATTGATGATGCGCGATCTAGCTGCTTCCTGCTGGAGGTAATCTGGCTTCCAAGCGAACAGTGAATAATTGATCTGCAAGAGGATCAGAGAACCCGGGGTTGCTAGCCCGGTGAGGTCACTCCGATGCTTAAGTCAGTATAGTATTGCGAGCTAAAAATAGCTTAAGAATGTAGAGAGCTAGAGAGCATATAAATCACGTGTATCTTGAACCACCGGGGGTGGAGCCTTTATATATTGAAATCCTTGCAGGTTCTACGGATTAGTTCCGGGATCATCATCACGATAGGATCCGTTTTCGTATGAGTTGGAAGATAATGCTGCCAACCGATAAGGTTCATCAGTTCCGCCCTAATCAGGCGGGGAGATAATGCTAGCTGTTACACGGCGTGATCTCGTGAGACCCGTGATCTGTTGGAGGGGTTTTCGGGATCACCACATAGTGGCATGTCGGTATCCCCGAGCTGATGTCTTTAAGTCCTGAATTGGGTTGAATGCCGAGGTGCCTTGGCATCGAGGTGTTCTTGTTGCGATCTGGTATCGAGTCGATCTCGTCTCGAGGTGAGCCTGTCCCGAGGTCATTTTAGCTCGGGGTGGTTGGGTACCCGAGCTCGATCTGCTGCGGACTACTTACGTTAAGCTGAGTTGTCATCTCTTGGTCAGGTTGTGTCCACATGTCCCCTCTTTACTAGGTCGGGCCAAATCATCTTTCAAATATCATCAATCCTATTGCAGTATATTCTATTTCTGATTCATATGAGCCATTTACAAAAATTTTCAAGAAAAAGTACAATGGCTTTTTTTTTTTTCCTTTTTGCTCAAAGATGTTTATGATGAGCTTTGGAAAACTTTTTGTAAGGAGTTTTCCCAATTACTCAATAAGATTGCTAGAACTTGTTTTGGGTGTGATTTTTTATTATGATACAAAACTCTATTCGTCGCATCCCATATGAATCATAAAGCTGCATGGAAACAGACCCATTAGTTGTACCTTCAGCTTTATCATTGGAGTCATTAATTTTGTTGTTTCCACTTATTCACTATCAAGCACTGTGTTAATACCTATATGTAAAGACAACCAAATTGCTCTTGCAAAGTGGCACATGAAAAATAAATGATTGAAATTGTCTACCATCTGTTTAGACATAGGACAAGGTCTATCCTCTTATTCCAAGAATCTAACTTGTCTTTCATGAATATTTGACATTTATATGGTAGTCTTCCATATTTCGTTCCAATTTATTACTTGTTTAGAAGTGGATGGGTACTTGCTTATGAAAGTCCTATAAAGACTTAACAGTATATTCACATGTAGTATTTCCCTTCCATAAAAGTCTATCTTGCTCTAAATCTTGATTTAGCCTTACTTATAAATTGTGCTTAACAGTATATTCACATGTAGCATTACTTTTTACATCTATTCTCCATTTTTAATTTGCCAAAATAGGCTTTTTTTTTTAGTTCATCCAACATTTGAACTGTTTCTTCCACAAATAGAATCCAATTAAGTCTTTGTGAGTGAAAAAATCGACTTATTTTTAAAATATTTATGTTTAATAACCCGAACCCACCTAACCTCCAAACCTACTTACCAAACATAGCTTTATTCATTTCAGCCACCCTTTTGAAACCCAATCCTCCCATATGTTTTTTTTGGCTTACAATATTTATCTCATTCTATCCAATGCATCTTATCTGATTTACTATCACCTACCCACTACAAATTTCTTTGTGCTTGTTCCAATTTTTGTGTGTATAAATTGGAATTGCTTGAGCTACTGCTTTAATCAATGTTGTTTTACCTGCTTGGGAAAGTTACTTTGTTTTCCAAATAGCCATCTTTTTCTCCACCCTTCCTATTAATTCATGAAAAGTTTCAGTTTTAGCTTTTTCTAATCCATAAATTTGTCCTCAAATATTTGTCATGTATTCTTTTGACCCCCAAAATTCTTTGTAACAAAATTTGATGCCTTCTATGAACATTTTGACTAGGGGTGTTCACGGGTCGGGTTGGGTTGGCTTGAGTTATTTTTTTCAACTGACCCGACTTAGTCGGTTTACTCATTGACTAAATTAAAACCAACTGACCCTGAACCAAACCGACCCAAACATAAAGCGTTGGTTTATTGGTTTAGTTGGTTTTTATATATATTTTAAACTAAGATATCTATATTTAAATATCTATTTACATTTAAGTTTATTTCTTTTTAGTTTTTATGCAAAATCAAAATATATATTTAAATCAATTAATTTTTTATACAAAACTGATTTTTTTGTCAATATATATTTAAATTTATACAAAACTGAATTAAATATTGTACCATTGTATTATATTTTTATTGATTTTACGTTTTTAGTTTTTATCATAAATAACCATTTTTTTAAAAAAATTCAAACAAAACACAAATAAAATATATCAACAATTAACATATAGGGTATGGACTAATTAATAATTACTTAAAAATATAGGATCGGTTCGGTTTGGTTTGGCTTCGGTTTTCATACATGAAAATCGAAACCGAACCGAGTTGTTGGTTTATTTTTTCATACAAACCAAAACTGACCAGTGATTTTGAAAAATTGACCAACTCGGGTTGGGTCGGGCCGGTTTGGTTGGTTTGACATTTAATGTAAACACCCCTAATTTTGACTAAAGTAAACCCTTGATTTTTGGAGGTTTACCATTTGTCTAGACCAGTCTTGAAAGATTTTTAATATTCCCTTCATTCATCACTTCACTTTGATTGATCTACAAAACAATAGGCAGTCATATGCAAATAAGATGAGATATTTTAACGCCACCAATAAATGCCAAAACCATAAGTTAAGACCATCAATAAGTGCCAAAAATTCAACCCAAGTAAAAGTAATATATCTATAATAATTAAGAAAGCAAAGATACAACACCCAGAAGTGTTTCTCACAATGCTGCCCTCTACACTCCAGCCTGGATTACCCCAACTAGAACCACGAGTTTGGATATAGTATAGTAAGCACATTCAATGAACACTTAATAAATATTCTAACAACTATCAAAATTTGTTTTTAATGTTTTGCAAGGGTAAGTTGTGGGTATTTTAAGGGATAGGCATCAAAAAATTTTCTAAGTGCTCATTGAATGTGTTTACAAGTCGTGTATACCTGATCCAGATTGTAGAACCATTTACGTATAATCCACCTCCTAATAACAGCTTTGATTGGAAGGTTGAAATCTTGAAGGATATGATTGTTTGAGTTATCATTATTGAATTTCTCCTTAGTGTTGCAGAATATAGATGTCTTTAAGCCAGTTAATAATCTTGCTAAAAAGTATACAAATAATGAACCCTAGTGAAATTTACATTTGCAAATATACTAACTAAACAACGTAGGAATGACTTACATCTTCTAAGTTGATCAACATTCACCTTGCATCTATGTATGCAATCCCTTTTTTGGTTTGCTTCATACACAAACCCTTGTAGAAGTAAGCAAGGTGTGAAGTATCAGAAACACCAAGTATATCGAAAGGGCAATTTTAAGAAACGTATTTGGATATGCCTTGGATGTACATATTTAAAGTATGGACATGATATGCCCAATAGGGTGTATCTTATTGTACCTTTGGACCTCAATACACCTATTTACAGGTGTTTTTGCAAAACCCTTTTTATCTTAAATAATCTATATATAATTATACTTGAATCTGAAATTTAAAAAAGGAAAAAATTAAAAAAGAAAAGAAGTATATCGGTTAAAGTACTGATACACCTCTACCAATACACAGAGGTGTATCAATACTTTCAACCATGACATGTGTATCAAAGAAAAATTAAGATATGCATGGAAACACTATAAACACTTTAATAAATCATATAAATATATCAATAACACTAAATGTAATGTCTCAATGAGGTACACATGCATTAAATTAATATATGTTAATAGGTTTTATGAAGAAACACATCATAGTCAATTATAATTTTTATTAAAAAAATCCTATGCTTAACTATAATTTATAAATTGTAATTCTTAAGTTTTAAGGGATGGGAAAAGCCCAACTATCCTATCCTAACTTCAAAGTGAAAATATAATTAATAATTATTATATTTAAATAATTACTATCTATTTTTAAAATTAAAAAATATAAAAATAAAAAATAAATAACCATTGTACAATATATTCAAAAAAATTATTGAAGAAGAAATTCCAATTGCTCTATGGGTATGATAGATCATCAATACGCTATTGGTACATCTGATATAGGTCCAATACAGTGGAAAAAAAGACGACGCCACTTATTTTCCATCGTATCCTCCTGTATTGAGCTTTCAAAGATACGATATGGTACACTCCATCTTGGGCATATCATGTTGAACTTTTAAACCTTGGACGTAAGGGAAACGATGCAAAGGTGACGGTGGAATGACACCCTTGTAAATTTGGAGACATTGTTGTAAATTGTCAAAACACAGTCCACCAAGGGTGATCTTGAGCTGGGCCAAGTCAAGCTTTTAGGGTTATAAATAAACTAAAATAAAAAAATAACTGGTCATATTAAAGAAGTCACATGGTCTATTTACTTTTTATTGGTTCATATTTTACAATATGTATGTCACTTTTGATGTATCACTTTATCACTATTTCACTTATTTTGCTTCATAGTGCAATATTTATATCATAGATGTTGTCACGTACATGTTATATTTTATATAAATAAAAAATATTATATACAATATACATTACATGTGCCATATCATAATATTTATATATAGACTAGGCCCAACCTGCAAATTTTCAAGCCTGTACCAAACTAGAAGTGATCACCCTTACCCGAGTCACAACACCTTGAAGGTGCTAGCTTGATGGTAAATTCTCCTACTAGTTGTAGTAGAGACTTGGCATCTATTCCCGCTTCAAACAGGATTAAAGGATGTGGTCCCTCGATTGGTTATTACTTGTGAGCTCTTTGGCCTAACCAAAACACTTGAAAAGATTAAGACCCCATTTGTTTTTCGGAAAGTTATTTATCATGGATAAGTGCATTTATTCATGTTCTTTTATTTTTCAAGTAAATAAGACAATAACCATTTTAGTCATATTATTAAAATGGACAATTTTGTCCAAGATTTTTAAAACCAAACCGGACAACAAACTGTTCAGGGGTTTAGTTCCTACGTTGAACGGTCCAACTGTTCGAACTGAACGGACGGCCCATTCTGACAAAAAATAAAAAAATATAAAACGGCCTAAACCGTTGAACAGTTCAAACAGTTCAATCGCCCAACTCAGTGGTTTGTGACCAAATCAATGGTACTTACTTGGGTAAGTGCATTTATTCATGTTCTTTTATTTTCCAAGTAAATAAGACAATAACCATTTTAGTCATATTATTAAAATGGACAATTTTGTCCAAGGTTTTTAAAACCAAACCGGACAACGAACTGGTCAGGGGTTCGGTTTCTAGGTTGAACGGACCAACTGTTCGAACTGAACGGGCGGCCCATTCTGACAAAAAATATAAAAATATAAAACAGCCTAAACCGTTGAACAGTTCAAACAGTTCAATCGCCCAACTCAATGGTTTGTGACCAAATCAACGGTTTTTGGCAAAATAACGATTCTGGGGTAAAACTGAACCAGACCGGTTTCTGGTTTTTCCTGGTCCAGTCAGGTTTTGAAAACCATGATTTTGTCCCATCCAATTATTGGCAACTTTCCCCGTTATTTACCCAGGTGTGAGAATACCTAAGGAAAATAAATTTTCTATAGCCCTACATAAATCTGAAAAAAATAAATGGATATCTTAGTCCCCTCTCAAAATCCAAAAAACGAACGTCCTAAGATTTATAGTGCTTGATGCTTGGGCTGGCATGAGATCTTTTACATCCCCCTTTCCCTTCTTGGAGCAGGTAATCTTCCATCCAAAACCAAAGGCTTTTGGTTTGCAAGATCTCGTCTTTGGAGCCGAATTCTATGGTCTAGAGTCTAGACAGGATAAGGTCATTCATGAAGACTGAATGGCTTCGAGGTCATGTACTGTTAGTTGAGTGTACTAACCATGTTTAAAACCTAACAGTCCAAAGTCAACGCCCATTTTGTTTTCCTTACTCATATCATCAAATCAAATTATAGATGATCTCTCACTTCTTCATGCTTTGTTAATAAACTGCCTAGCTATGGCTTCATATATTCTATGTTAAGGCTAACAGGATTTTCAAAATACTTACAGAATGGACAAAAATGGCTTTTTGAAGCATCCGTGTAAGCCAATCAAGGTCAACACATTGTGGGCTCTAATGGTTCAATCAAGCTTTGACAGGAGGATCACTAAAAGTTTCAGAGAATTGCCATGTGAGGTTCTTCTAGGCTTGCATTCTTCAGTTCCCGTACTCCGCATATAACTACATTCTTTAAACTTTCCGTTGTAAAGTTGCAGAACATGGCCATGGCTACAAGTGTAAAAGTAGTCCTAGGATCAGTTGCTTTTTTTATCTTTTGGGTCTTGGCAGTTTTCCCGGCTGTCCCTTTCTTGCCCATCGGCAGGACTGCTGGGTCTCTCCTAGGCGCCATGCTCATGGTCGTCTTCAGAGTCATAACCCCAGACCAAGCTTATGACGCAATTGATCTCCCAATCCTCGGTCTTCTCTTCGGAACTATGGTCGTCAGCACCTACCTTGAAAGAGCTGATATGTTCAAATATTTGGGCAAATTACTCTCTTGGAAGAGCCAAGGTGCCAAGGATTTGCTATGCCGGATCTGTCTCGTCTCTGCCATTTCAGGTGCTCTGTTCACCAATGACACCAGCTGTGTCGTTCTTACTGAGTTCGTACTAAAGATTGCAAGGCAGAAAAATCTCCCACCTCGTCCATTCCTGCTAGCTCTCGCCTCTAGTTCAAATATAGGGTCGTCTGCAACTCCAATTGGCAACCCGCAGAACTTGGTCATAGCCGTCCAGAGTAGTATTTCCTTCGGGCAGTTCTTGATGGGCATTCTCCCTGCAATGCTCGTGGGAGTGTTTGTGAACATCGTCATACTTCTGTGCATGTACTGGAGATTGTTGCCCGTCGAAGACGCAGCGACGGAATTGATCGCCGAGGAGGATGTCACGTCTCACAGGTTCTCTCCGGCAACAATGTCGCATTTCTCATCCTCGAATTCTCAAGAGTGGAGCTTCACATTATTGGAATCTACGAACATCCGCAGCTTGCCCCACCTGAATGTAGATATCGGCTGTGTGGAGAATATTGGGCACCGAGTAAGTTCAAGCGAGAACGATATACACAGGGCCATACTCGAAGGTGGTAATGAGATTTCTCAGGAGTGGAACGAAAGCTCTCCGAGGAGGCCTGTCAGGAGTAGAGTGACCGGTGGTGCCATGATAGAAGATGTTGTTTCAAGGCAGTCTGTAGAAGAAAAAGAAAGTGCTTTGAGCAAGAGACGCAGAAGGTTGTGGTGGAAGACATGCGTTTATGTGGTTACTTCAGGAATGCTGATTGCACTGCTGGCGGGTCTGAACATGTCATGGACAGCTCTCACTGCTGCGCTCGTTCTTGTGGTTCTTGATTTCAAAGATGCACGTCCATGTCTGGAGAAGGTAAGTGCAGTAAATTAAACGACAGAGCCAAGAAATGCTTACTGCTGCTCTCTGCGATTCTGAATAAGGCTCACCCATCTTTCCTTTTGAACCAGGTCTCCTACTCACTTTTGATATTCTTCTGTGGAATGTTCATCACCGTCGAAGGCTTCAACAAAACAGGGATACCAAGTGCTTTCTGGGATCTAATGGAGCCATATGCACGTATTAATCATCCCACTGGAATTGCAGTTCTTGCCCTCGTCATACTTGTCCTCTCAAATGTTGCTTCAAATGTACCTACTGGTAATAAGCTAAGGCAAATCTTATTTCTATGCTTGTTTAATCCTTCTAAAACTGATGTTCCCTACATCTTAAGTCAGCTGGAAGCATATTCTGGTTCTGGATTACACAGAGCTATTTTTGCTGCACAAATTTCAACTATATATAACCTTTCACAAATAGTCAGACATGTCACCTTCATTTGATCCATGCATTCCTATAGTTCTCTAACACTGCTATAACTATTCTATTGCTGGTTAGTTGTCCACTCTGAGTCTGAGCACCTTAACAAAGGTGTTTTCCTTCAGCAGTAATACTGTTCCAACTGCTATACATGCTAGACGACTATTTATTCCCTTCATTGAAACCAATATTAAGTAAGAATTTGTTGTCATCTTCCATTTGAGTATAACAAAGCAAATGGTGGTATAGAAATGAACATCAGGTCTCCTCTTCCCCTCACAATCCTTTCCTTATTATCAACCCTGAGTCATTAAAGCCTTTCTGACTTGGCCTGGAATCCTATTGTAGTTTCAAAGGCAAAACTCTTAGGCTATGTTTGGTTGGAATCCTAGTGCAACTAGCTTCTCACCATTTATTCTTAAATTTTTGACCCCCCGACTTCATTTGGTTTTTAATAAAGTAGCAAGGTTCTGGTCTGTCTACATTTTCCCAGTGCAAAGACAAACCGGAAAGTAGTCCTTAATGCATTCTGCCTTGTCATAAACTGACTGTGTTCATCTGATCTCTTGTTGTTGGGCATATGCTTGTGTACTTTTACCTATACATACTGAGTTCCTGATTAAATCTGGATGTTTGTCTTAGTTCTGCTGCTTGGAGCACGGGTGGCAGCATCAGCAGCTGCAATTTCTACGAGTGATGAGAAAAGGGCTTGGCTCATTCTGGCATGGGTGAGCACAGTTGCTGGAAACCTGTCTCTGTTGGGTTCGGCTGCAAACTTAATAGTGTGTGAACAGGCTCATGGAGCTCCATCCATTGGATATACTCTCTCCTTTTGGAACCATCTCAAGTTTGGATTTCCCTCAACACTTATTGTGACTGCCATTGGATTGACACTTATAAGGGGATGACCTCCTAATCTGGTAGCAGACAACCAATGGAGAGAAACTAGTTTTTGTAACTGAAAGAAGAAATATCATTCTTAATTTATAAAGAGGTTCTGTTTCTGCATAGGAGCAAATAATTAGAGCAAATTTTTTTTTGACACATACCATTTATTGACATTTAGGCATCATTAGACGCCACACCAGCCAAAAAGTGAATAAAGGCCTATGGGGGGAGTGTTAAAATGAAGCTTCCCCCAATGGTAGGTGTGCACATAAACCGAAGTCTACTTTTGCAAGTCCCTATGCATACAGATTCACATAATGGAAAAAATGCTGAAGTGGTGCCTATGTGGCAACGTTTATTCAATAAACACCCACGGTTCCAAATACATGCATAGATTTGTTTAGAGGATTTGAGTTTTACTCCCGCTTTCTTCCTCCTCTAATTTGGAAAAGGATACAAATCAAAATTGATGACCATATCTATTTTAACAGACTGACAGACCTAGCCAGGGGTGTCAATTGGATCGGATTTGGTCCAATCCATTCCAGTATGAATCCATTACAAATGGACCAGGTCCAATCCAATCCGCTGAATACTTTGGACCATTTTGGATGGGTCCAATTCAATGTCTAGCTGGACCATCCAATCTGTTCAACCGCTTTCTTCCTCCTCTAATTTGGAAAAGGATGCAAATCAAAGTTGATGACCATATCTATTTTAACAGACTGACAGACCTAGCAGGGGTGTCAATTAGATCAGATTTGGTCCAATCATTCCAGTATGAATCCATTACAAATGGACCAGGTCCAATCCAATTCGCTGAATACTTTGGACCATTTTGGATGGGTCCAATTCAATGTCTAGCTGGACCATCCAATCTGTTCAAATTGGCTTGAATTTGGATTTGTTCCAATCCAAACCTGGTCCATTGACACCTGTATTCTATCAATGAACCAGATATTGGTTCAATCGGACCCAATCCAATATAAATTCATTATGGACGGACCAGGTCCAATCCAATCCAATAAATACTTTGGACCATTAAATATAGTCTAGACTGGTCCAATTCAATGTCTTATTGGTCCATTCAATCCATCCAAATTGATTTTGATTTAAACAGATCCAACCCAAAACCGATCCATTGACAACCCCAGACCTAACTAGATAAAAAAAAAAGATTATTTTCTTGCATAATTTAATGTTAGTTAGGTCAGCCGACAATTGTTGACTCTTAGGCTCGTAGCTCATGTTAGTTAGGTGAGCTTCATACTTGTATTGTTTTGACATGTAAAATGGGTTACGAAACATCGAAACCCAATCAAAAGTAAATATTTATTAAAAAATCATTGTGTATTGTATGGATCACTGATGTATTGAGTATTGAGTATTCACTATTAAATGGGTTACAATAACCCCACTTTGTAGGGAAAACTTTAGCTGTTTGGGAAAAATAACCTCTTGTTTTTCAAATATCCAAAGTTTTTCCATACAAGTCTGATTTGCAGCAGATCCCCAACCCTGTCTGGGAGGCTGGGGGATGCCAAACATTGGGTCCACAAAATGGCCCATTTGGTGCCCACAGTCCAGCAGAGAGGCCCAATAAAATTACAGCCACTACTTGTTTTTTTTTGGTAGGGGAGGAAGAGGGCAAGGTCAGAAAAGGGTGTACATGAGGTCCCCTGACCTTATCACAGTAATGGGAGGGAGACCAAGTGACCATCCCCACCAGGGGACCAGATGGATTAAAAACAAAATAATTTAGACAAACCTATCAAGAGTGAATACATCAATCAATGTTCTGTATGCATAAGATGCGGATTTCATGTGGGCATGTGGGCTCATGTGTACAACACTGTCATGTTTATTCCTGATAGGTTGTATGGCCTTTGTAGCCCATCCAAAGTCCTCAGCTACTGGTCTTCACCAATTATAGCCATGAACATGGCTAAGGTGGCGTTTAATATAATGTAATTTTTGTGTTTCATCTAGTTTCAGAACAGACTAGGATAAGGTATTCTCTTAGCTATGTTTGGTTTGAAGGAAAAAGTAAGGAAAGTCCTTCAAACCAAATATAGCTTTAATGACTTGACTATTTTAGAAGCCAGTAAAATGTGGTTCTAAAAATATTGTAAATTGAAAAGGGTAAATTGCTGAATCCTGAAACCTCTTCTGAAATTTAGTTATTGCAATCACCTCCTTTGAACCTTATGATACAATTGCAACTAGATCCCTTCTGTTAGAATCTTTCAATAAAATCCATGAAAATGTCCAAATACCAATAAAATTATTATCAAGACTGGTTTCTATGAAAAAAACAATACAAACTTTATAACAATAACAACAATAAAGAGAATTTAAAATTGTAGTTTTACCTTTGAGTGATTGATATGAAAGGCAAATTTAGAAAATAAATCAATTTCTGAAAAGAGATTGAGAGGGTTTGAGGTAGTGATTTCTATGAAAGAAAATTTTGAAAAGAAACAACATTTTCATGCCTCTTTTTATAAGATTCTACCACAGATGATCTACTTGCAACTATGTTAGAAAGTCGATGAGAGATAATTGCAATTTAAACAAAAATTTCAGGGGAGGTTTCAGAAACAACCAGAAACGTCAGGAGAGGTTTCAGCAATTTAAACATTTTTCAATGAACTTGGTAGTTGTTTCCTGTATTTCCAAATTCCAACCATGCCACACTACTCTAATTTTATTTGTATTGATTCGATGCATGAAACCGACAGCCGATCACCTGGTTGTTCACATCAGTTTCATTCAACATCCGTCAGCCTCTAAAAGAGGAACCACAGGCTCTGGCTCTCGGTGTAAATTGGGCCGTGCTGGACCGGTACAACACAGCCCATGTGCGGCCTGTGTAAAGTGGGTCAAGCTGGGCTATGTTTTCTTCCTTTAGGATTTTTTGGAGGTTGGCCCAACATGGCCCACGACCCGAGTCTGTATGGGCCGGTGCCGTGCCATAGGTTGGGCTGGTCAGCGGGCCAAGTCTTGGGCCCGGCTAGGCTACGAATCAGGCGAAGTCATATTTTTTAAAAATTTTGAAAAATAATAAAAATTTTAACATAAATTAATAAAATAGACAAAAATTATAAAATATTTTTTTATATGAATTTTGATGTATATACAATAATATTATAAAATTGAAAATAAAATTATATATTAATATATTATATAATATAATATACATATTATATTATATTATATATAAAAAATATATAAATATATATATGGATTGTGTTGGATCGTATTGGCCCATGAACCTAAAACCCCATGCCCGATACATCCCGATTTAGACCTCTAGCCTCTCCGTGTTCGTGGTGAGGTCTGTACACCTCTGTATAAGGTGTGTTAAACCTGAAACCAACACATTTCATATACCAATGTTTGTGAGAACACACCATGCCTCTATGTAAAATATAAAAATACTACCATGGGTGTGGTGTATTCCAGAACTTGTGGTTTCAGACTTTCAGACACAGAAATTGGATTCCATTTTCACCTCACAGCCCCTTGCAGCTGTGTATTGAGAATATCTCCCAGAATAAAATCTTAATGCATAGTTGAAAAAGGCCGTGAGGACAGTTTTGTGAGAATAAAATTCGAATTCAACTATTTAAGACCAAAATACACAACGTTCCCCAAATGGTTAGATTTTTTTTTTTTTTTGTGATTTTATTTTCATCGTTTATCCCTACACAACATGGCTGTGATTGGTTTGAAGGAAAAAGTAGGGAAAGGAAAGGAAATATATGAAAACTTATACAAAGTTTGTGAAAGTTTATTTGCCTTTCCTTTCATTCCCCTACTATTTCCTTCAAACCAAACATAGCCAGGCACTATCTACAAAAATGCTACTGACATTACCTACAAGACACTACACAGCTCTGCTGCGGTGCATTAGGAATATCTAGAGTCTCTTGTGCGTAGCATTAGGCATTCTCAGGGTAGGAGATTAAAGGACCAATGTACTGTCAAACACTCCTCTCCTTCAAGACCAAGGGTGCCTATCTGCTGATCACAATACTTTGCTAGCCACTTAAACCTAGCCGCACATAAGAAATATCTCCTTGTACTTTTTATCATCAATACTCCCAATATGTAGCTGGATGAACGTGGCCGTGGCCGGCCACCAATTAATTGTGTGGTAAGTAGATACAGATTTCTCCACTTAACTCGTCACTTTTTTCTTACACTTCCATTCAAAAAGTTCCATTTTTGCTGGTACCATTGAAATGATATTTACCTTTTTTTTTTTTTTTTGCACTGCATTTATTGTGCATTTCCATTCAGGAGCGTAAAAGTGCAGCAGATCCGGACTCCTTTCTCATATCACATTTTGCCGGCGGGCATGAGTGTATAAAGTAGGGGTTTTTGACATTTTGAATGTTTATAAGTCTGTAGTGAAATTTAAAAATCTGCATTGGGCCTATTCATACTTTTCTGTATAAAATATCTCATATGAAGGTGTAATTGTGACTGGCCAAACCGGATTTAAATATCAGGCAGTCCAATTCCAATACTAATCAGTGTGAAGTTGTTTAGTTAGTAGTGCAACTTGGGCCAAACCAGTTCAAACCCAATCTCGAAATATTAGGTCAGGTTAGGGTTGGGGTTGAAAAATATGAACCCCACTTAACTAACTTCATGTTAGATTAAGGTTTGGGCCTTGGGCAACCCCATTTGAGTCCAATATGCCTTCATGCTATCAATGTAGATGCATGCATATTCCTATACACTGCTTAACCTTGGTTGGATTATTATTATTTTTTTTTAAGAATGTGAAAAGGTTGAACCAAACCGATGGGCTGAACCCAGTTTGGGGGTCCAACAATTTTGGGTTGGATTAATCCAGCCCAACTTGCACCTCTCACTTCATTCCCATCAGCTACTTTTAAACGCATATACGATTACGAGCATTAATGTAATCAGTGTAGAAGAATAGTCGTTGAAAAGCAGTCTTCATGGATAGAACCTACCACATACGGTACGACCCTCCCCATGGACCCCATCTATTCTTTTCTCTCGTGTGGATGCTGTGATTTCCCATGGACTTTAGATCTGGATTCTCTAGGTTTAGGTCCATGATTTTCTCCCAAGTACTGTAC